CTTTAATTTAAATACAAAAAAAGTTGTTTAAAAAATTAAAATTTATCTAGATAGTACTATATATTCCTAAAAAATAAATAAAAAATTGTACACTGGAGTTTGACTCACACAGATTTTTCATTATGTAAATATAAAACTTTTCTAGTATTGTAAAAATTTTAATATATGGTTTACATTTAACTATATATATTATATAAGTTTATAATTTTTTGTTTAAGTTTCTTATTCTTCATTATTAATATATAGTATTTTGTTATAAATATTTTAATTTATATTCTTATTGATTGTTATTACTTATTAATATATTTTGGAGTTTGATATATAAATTATAATCTGAAATAATCAAATATATAATCTTTTTAATATAAAGTTTTAGTTTCTACAGTTTGCATACAATAAATTTTAACATTTATTTAGATATCTGATATACTATAGATAAATATATGTTAATGATAATTTATATTTTCGTGTTGTGTTTAAAAATGATACTTTAACATTTATTACTTTCGTATTTTGCAAAATTTAATAAATAAATATATTACTATTTTATTGCTAAATTTTATAAATTATAAATAGATAAAAAAAAACCCGCACGGTTGTGCGGGTCAAGATCTAATTAATATATTATTAAGCATAAATTAGAAACAAATTAAAATATAATTAAACCATAAATTAAATTTCTTTGATTATATGATTATCATTTTCTAAAAATAGTTTGTATTAATTAATCATTAACTAACAGAGTAATATATAATTACCCATAAATTAAAAACAAAATTATTTTATTTGAAAATTATCACTATATAAAAATCATTTATATCAAGTTATAAAGTATTTATTAACGTTAATGAATAGTTGTATTAGTTAATATATATAATCAACCAAAATTAAAAGCAAATTTCATTCATTTGATAATTATTATTGTATGAAAATAGCTTATGTTGTGTTATTCAAGGTAGATTTGATTAGTTGTCATATTATCCATGGTTTTAGATAATTTTATTTATTTATCATGTTTTTAGGATTTTGACTAATGATTAATTGATACACTTAATAAATAATTAGATTTATTAATATATTATTAACATAAACTAAAAACAAAATAATATATAATTATCCATATATTAGAAACCAATTTTTTTATTAGATGATTATCATTATCTGAAAATATTTTGTATTAATTATCCATAAACTAAAATCAAATTAAGATATAATTAACCATAAATTAAAAATAAAATTCACTGATCTGCTTATTATCATTATCTAAAAATAATATATATTATGTTATAAGTATTTTTTAACGTTAATTAATAATTATATTTGTTAATATATAATTAGCCAAATTTTTTTAAAAAAAATCAATTTTATCATTGCATAATAATAGTTTATGTTGTGCTATTCAAAAATATGTTATCTTTTTTAGAAACAGTTTTGAATTGTAAAAGCTATTTCCCTATATATATATGGCGTATATAATAATTTTTCAGATTTATTTTATGCTATAAAAGATAATTTTATTATACGGAAAAACCTTTTTATATGAAAATAGTTTAATATTTAATTTATTACTAAATATTTTAAAAATATTTATTTTTTAAGTTTATGTTACATGATAAAAAAAATATCTATATTACGATACAAACTTATACATATAAATTTTTATTGTTTAATTTTTATTAAATATTATGAATGTATGAATAATAATTTATTTTAATTGTAATTGAACTGCTAATATATTTATTTTAAAATTATTATGCCCGCACGTGCGGATAAAATACCTAGTTCTAAATACAAGTATAATAAATACAAACTTGAATATAGTTTGAGAAAAAATATATAAACGCAATTAAATAAAATCACCCATTTTAATGAGATTTTCTTTAACACAAAAGTACGAATCCGAATCAGATTATTTTCGTACAAAAGTGTCACATAAACAAACGAAAAATAGGTATGTGGCAACTTAAAACAACAGAGAACAACAAGAACAAAAACTCAAATCAAATCAAATTTCTTCACAACATGCTGTTCAACTTAGTACAAAGCTTCATTTTATGATCATCTCTTTATCTAATTTTCAAATCTTCTACAAGTATCTGTTAAGGTACTTTAAAAAAGTATCCTGTTAAGGTATCCAATTTTTCTCATAACTAGAAAATCACATATATGTCAATCTTTAGAACATTCAATAGTTATTATGCTTTAAACAAGAAGATGGTGTCCCATATAACGTAAACGGCTCTTTGATTTGAATCTGCAGACGAAAGTAAGCTAGTATCACTTTGTTTTGTTAACCGAGTATGCATTCAGCATATAGAGAATAACAGAGAAATGTTTATTGTTTGCTTCATGATGAAAAGTAAAATATTTTTTTTCCTAAATATGTAAAGTAAAATATTTTAGAAGAGAAATTTTCTTTTGAGACTAGACCTCGTCTTGAGTCTTGAAATTTAATATTTATGGTTGCATATAACTAACAGCGACCTTTGATTCCATTTTTCATTGGTAAAGATATTTGTAGAACTCAAACTACAGATATAAGTAGAAATTGATATGATTGGTCCATCAGTCTTGAAAATGAAACTAGTTAGAATTAGGTATAGTGCAATGTGTTGTCTCCCTCTCACTGTAGTTATCAACCTAGAAACGACTTGAAATTTATGTATACCTTTCCTTTCTCTTTTTTCTTTGCCCTTTCCTTCTTATTCCCACTTCACTCTTTGTAAGTTAAAATTAATGGCATTTTACATCGCGTCTCTGCTTACGTGGAGACATGATCATCATGCCAATTGAAAATTTGAAATATATTAGCCCATTTGTGGGGTTTTCATAAGATATAAGAGAAGTTATTTACCTAATTTTCAAAAAATATACTGAGAATATTGCCCCCTTTTTTTTTTACTACTTCTGATGTGTAATAAGTTTGAGTGAATTTAGCATATTGCTACTGATTTTTTATTTCTTTGACAATTTAATTTACTTAATTTGTTACCTTGATTTTTTAGCTTTTTTTACAGGGTAATAAAAATTAGGAATAGCTTTGTATATCCTGATCTTTTTTCATTTTTAATGATACTAACCATTAAGCACAATAAAAAATACATATTATTTTCTTAAAATTAGTTACCAACATTAAGATTGTGGAACTTTGAAGAGGTAGTACAAATATACTGTTCTCTCTATTCTTATTTTTAGAACATCTACTAGTCTGGAAAGAACATGTTTTTCTCTTGAAGAAAAAGTAAGAAAATGTTTATAATTATCAACATTTTAGTGAGAAATTATCAAGTCAGATTTGCATAGCATTTATATGAATTCGAAAGTCCTTTTTAAATATTTAAAGGATCGAGCCTAATTGGCCAGTATATACCAATAAAACGCTATTTGGCCGATGTAATGAATACACCCTTCGACATCGATTTTCACTGTTTTTTTAAAGATATAACTTTTTTTTTGAATAGAAAGATATAACGATTTTCACACACATGCACCTTGCATGCCTTTTGGTGATACATACCAAATGTGGTACTGTACATATGTGCGTGTGTTGTAAGGAATTTTCAAATAAAAAAATATGTGTAAATAATAACCGAATCTTAAAAACGAGCACAAGAAAGTTGTGTAAATCGTGGGAAAACTAACTGAAAGAGAAAAAACAAACACAAGTAGTGAAGAAGTACATATAGCTAGAGACGGAGTCGTGATCTTCCCAGTACAAAGGAAACATATCATATCTCCTTCCCTCACTAATATACACTTCTTCTCTTCTTTTGATATTCCCGCACGTGTCTATTCCTCCACCGTTGGTCTCGTTGTCTATCAATCTACACGTAACACATGCATAGACATATGCCTAACCTAGATCTGTCTATGCATCATTTAGTTTGTGATATAAGCTTTGTCCACTTCATGATCTCCAGTACCAAGCCATCCGTTGCTTCCTCGCTCATATATATTACCAATCGCTTTCCACTGTACCACTTTAATTATTGGATCACGTAGATATTCACTATTCATTGTAATTCTGTTCTCTATAATATGATTACTGATAATTAATACAATAAACTACGTATTCTAGATTATATAATTATAGAAAAGTGAGCGATTTGAGCCGAAGTCTAAGCTTAAATTAGAGAAGTAAGAGCATGCCCATTAGGAGATCTAAGGGAGGGTTCACACATTTTTCGAGAGAAACAGTGATGAACTTGACGCGCGTGGGTTCGTCGTGGTGAACTCGATTCGTCACGGGTTCGCCACGTGGCGGACTGTGATTCGCCAAATTATTATTATTATTTTTTTCCAAAAAGAAAAAAAAAAAGAAAAAAATTATTATTTTTTTCTATGAACCCCTCTCCATCAAGTTTACTGATGGGGATGATCTAACATCAAATTTGTTCGCAGCTGAAATCAAACTCAGAATTTTAAATTAGCCCTCAACACTAGAATACTACTTGGTTATGTTACAGTACGTTACATGTATTTTAAGATGCCGTGCCGAAATATTACATGGAAAGTAGTTATCATTTTAGTTACAGAAATGTGTTACGAGCATTACAGTCAATGGTAGATACATTCTTCTCTTTGTCATTGTATATTGAAAACATAATACTAATGTGAACATAAAGATGGCGTCCTACGGGAGGTGGGGGATTTGTTTTTCAGGCATGTGCATTTTGAATTTTGGAGATGTGTATGAAACTTTGACTCACTCCGTGTACAGTAATGTTCAACATTTGTATACATATTAAGATGGTTAATCTTTTTTTGTTATCAAAGAATCTCCAATGTAAAACTTCATTTTTTTCTATAAAAAATAGAGTAAAAAAAAATATGAAGTAAAAATGTTTCAATCCTATTTCATATCTCAATTTATAATGAAATAATGAACAAAAATAACAATATAACTCCATTTATGGAAAAAAATCTATTATGAAATGGGAACTAGAGTTGAATTGAAGTGTTTTTACTTCATACTTCTTTTTACTCTATTTTGAAGTTAAATTTAGAGTTAGATTTGAGATACCCTTATATATCCTTTTAGTATAATGCATAAGCGCATCTATTTTCTTAATATGCTAAGAGCACAATTTTCCAGAAACTAGAAAAAGGGGTGTTTAGAATTTTTTTTTTACTTTTCTGCTTTTTCGGATTTTTTATTTAAAAAGAAAAAGTAACCAATCGCGCACCGCCGCATGTCAGTGGGGTCTGCGAAATAGTGCAAGCACTGGAAAAACAGGGCTCTTGAACGGGAGTTAGAGGCGTCGAAGCTTGTTGTTTTTGTGGGACCAAATGTGATAAGCACCCTCTAAGCAACAGCGTTAAACGTGCTCTAAGAGGATAGAGACTGAAGATCTGTTAAAATCATCTGAAAGTACAAACCATAAAACATTTTGTATAAACTGTTCTAATATAAATGTTATATGAATGATATGGTGAAGGGAATTATGTATATTTATATGATTTGTATTTTTTGTATCATTAACATGTTATGTGATTTAGTTTCCCACATGTAAGAATTCACATCAAGAACATTCTCTTTAAAGATGGTTCCTGTTAGAATCAGTTTGATGAATCAAAAAATGACGACCATGTTCTAATTCCCGACATTTGAGTTTAATATATCTACCAGTTCTGCTTTTGTTGCATCATCAGTAGTCCCACTTGATTTAGTTTAAGTCAAAGCAAAAGACTTTTCTGCATATAATTCACATTCATATGTTAATCACTATAGTAGTTTGCGATTAGTTCGTTTTACACCAAGGAATAATATATAAGTGTTTGCACAACCATTTTATGTCCAAGAATAGTACGATATATTATATATAAAACCATACCTTAAGTTTGACCGGTCCTTTATTTGACTAAACATTTTTAAAGTTTCAACAAAATAGACTTCGTGTCGATTTTAGTTAACTTTGCATAATGACACTCAATTTGAAAGCATGAAGATGTATGTGATGCCAAATATAATTGTCAAAGCTTGAGATTTGATGTGGAAACAAAATGTTTGAGATTTGGTGAATGATGATAGATAATAGTATTAATATCCTTTAAATGGAACCGTTCATAGTTAGACATTTCTCACAAGATATACTCCCTCCGTTTCATATTAAGTGTCGTTGTAGAGAGTTTTTTGTGTTACAAAATAAGTGTCGTTTTCGGTTCTCAATGTAAAATTTATTAATTTTATTATGTAATGTGTTTTTCTATTGGTTAAAATATGGTTAAATGTATGGGTAATTGTATTTTTATATAGGAAATATGTAAAATTAATTGTTTCCTTAATCCGTGTGCACAGCTGTTGAGTGACACTTATAATAAAACAGAGGGAGTAACACTTAAGCCCTCCTTTTCGTTATTCACATATCCGAGATTTATAAATCTGCTTTCTAGACTCTTACACAATGCAATAATTATTGCCATTTGAAAAAAAATCTATAATTAAATATATTATGTATGCTATTGCCCACCTTGTGGCTTGCAAATCTAAATACTTTAGCCAATTTTGGGTTAATTCCATACGTCCATAAGGACCATAATTAATCAAGCAACAATTAATGGAAAATCTGGAAATGGCATTATTATTATTGAACTGAATAATTACATTATTTTCTCCTGTTTACTTATTCATAATTAAATATACTTTGTAGTTTATAGCGACAGATGAATAAGCGAGTTGAAGGAGCAAAAACGTCACTCCCCATAAGTTAATAACGCTAACAAAAAAATAAACTTTATCAGTCTTCAGATAGAAAAAAATAGAAAAGCAAAGGCAATTCGTGTAAAGTAAATTAACGACAGCAGTTGGGCCCTTATCTATGAAATAATTGGCAGCCATGCATATCTAGTTATTATGTCTTGTCTACGATGTAATTTTGCAATTAATCCACATGTTCAATTTCAAGTAAACTTTTAAACTACTCTGGATTTTCTTAAATAACACTTAACGAGATCAAACTAGAAAAAAAAGCTAATTAAAAGACATGTAGATGATAGGTAAAAAAGCTCACTATTTGTTACACCAAAAAAAAGCTCACATTTGTAACTTCTTTTACCAGAAGAAAAAACTTATTCTATCTGTTTATAGAATTCGACCGACCATGCAATACCGCATTTTCTATAATTCTTTTAATTTAGGGTAACGAAAACTAATGGAATTCCAATTTGTTGTTAAGTTGGTTATAATACTTTACAAAAAAAATAAACGAGATAATGAATTGAAGGTCCACATTGGTTTTAAATCCAAAATTAAAAGATGAAATTCGAATTTGTTAGCAAGAATATCCACGTGAAATTTTTAATTATGTTTATGTGTTTGTTTAGAGTCATAATGCTTAGAGTCAACAATAAGTGACGCTTTTTCACAACCATGCTTTGCTTGAATTTAAACCAACAACCCCACCACAATATGAGAAGACGGCATAATTCGAAACACAAAATCATGTTAAGTTGTAAACGTACAGAATAGAAGTTGATTTTTTTAAAATGCTTGAAGAAATGTACCGTATATTAAAAAAAAAACAAATTATACCCAGCACAACCTTTTAACTAATACATAAGCTGGACAGAATGAGGGAGGAGAATGCAAAAGAATGTTTTCGAAGCCGATCTTACAAAGTCTTCTGAAGTCCTCTCAAATTCTCGAAGCAATACATCATGTTTGGATGCCCTTTTTCAAAATAAAATACAGCATGTTTGGATACGTTAGGATATAGAATATCGTCTGTGAAAAAAAAAAATGAAAAAAAAGAATATCGTCTGTGAAGGTGATGCAAAAATAGTAATAAAATCCCAAAAAGAGATGCTGTAAGTTTCACACAAAAAAAAGAGATGCTGTTAATTTCAATAACGCGACATATTGCTTAGGAAAAGAAGTTCTACAACGAAATACTCAATTTATATTTTCTTTCTATGTTCCAAGATGTATTGTACCGAATATTTATATCCTCAACAATGTTTATAGAAATGCAAAGCGAAGCAGATGGAAAATAACAAAAAATCAAGTGATTGAAATAAGGCCTTTAATGAGATAATGTACTTATAGGCTTTAACTATTTGGGCCATATAAAAATTCTAACCCACTTCATATTATATTAGCAGCCTGCTATCCCTGGGTAGTGTAAAACTAGAAGGAAGAAGCTCTTATCCTCATAAATTCAAAACAGCAAGAGTGAACACCAGTAGATAGAATGTTAAAACATTTTCAACTGTTTATTGTTTAGGTTTTTTTTTTTAATCTATATAGATTTATCAAGTATTTTTAAAACGATGGACAATATCTATGCGCTATACATACCGATATTTTATTTTGTATTTAATTACAAAAAAGTGATGAAAAAAAAAAGTTGGATGTATAAAAAACAATAAATCAGATAAACTTGTGAACTTTTAAGAATTTGTTACTTGATTTGACCAATTTACACTAAATTATGTTAATTTAGACCAATTTATATTAATTTAAACTGGTTTATAAATGTATTGAATTTTTTAAATCAATTTTATTAAGAAAATTGTTTTTACACCACCTATATTTAAACATAATTTATTTATTATTATTGTTTTAAATATATCAAGTACATACCCATTTTACTGAGAATTACTTATAAATGAGTGAAAAAAAAAATCACAACAACAATTGTGATTATCTATGAATGTTTACCATCAAACACACTCATTCCACATTACTAGATAGAGATATACGTATGTATCCAAAAAAAAAAAAAGAGTCGAAATTTCAAAAAAAAAAAAAAAATCCTTTACATAAATCTACTACTACTAGTATTATCTTTTCTTGTAACAAAAAGGTTTACACACGTAATGAAGAGGGAGGATACACGTAGCGAGTATAAAGCAAAAGATATCAAATCAATCGTCCTTTGCGTAGTACACTCGTAGGTCCCACCCCATCCATCCTCTAATGCCATTTTAAACAAAAATACATTTTGCATTTTCATCTTCCCAAAACTTCTCCTTCTCCTTCCTCTTTCGCCATTAACATCTGAAATCTCAGAAGCGTTAAGATAATAATGGTGGGACTAAGTATTGTTTTGGAGTCGACTAACAACAACACTCTCAGTACTCCTAAACCGCGTCAAGTCGTTAACAAATCCGCCGTCATCTCCTCCGATCTCCGCCGTGGGAATTGTTATCTGAGTTCTGGGTTTCTCGAACATTGTTTTCTCTGTAGAAAGAAACTTCTTCCAGCGAATGATATCTACATGTATAAGTAAGTCAACATTAATAAATAAATAAACATTTTTTTTCTCCGGTCATTACAATGACAAACTTCAGTCTTTTTATTACATGATCTGTTTTTGTTTTTTTTTTTTTTTTTGAATGTTACAGAGGTGATAGAGCGTTCTGTAGCGTGGAGTGTAGATCGAAGCAGATGATCATGGACGAAGATGAAGAAAGCTTAAGAAGAGAGAACTGTTCGTCTATGGATGATAAAACGACGACGTCTGATCCGAGGAACCGAGCAGGCGGTTTCACTTTGTGAAACATGGAGAGAGAGAGAGAGAGAGAGAGAGCATTGCAAACTCGTGATTTGACGTTTTCACCCTTTGGTTAAGTTTTGTCGTTTTGCTATATGAGATGTAAAACCTAAAGGGTATTTTGCGTATCTATGGGAGCCCCTAGTTTTATTGTTTAGTAGGTTCCGAACAGTATTTTTAATTTTAGCTTTCTTTCTGCTGAAGCTGACCTTTTGCATTATCAACGCATTGTCATTATATTTAATGTTTGATGGAACTCTTACTTAGAGTGGAGAGAGTCCATGCAACTTTATTCTTAAAAGATTTACTATTAACTTTAAAGAGATGAGAGGAAATGGATTTTGTAATACTGGTTAGTGAATATGTGAGACTATGTTGATCTAGTCCACAGAGGGACAAAGAAAAAGAGACGTAATAAAAATAGTAAAATACTAAACATATGTTTTTTAAATATTATAAAAGTAATAATATTCTCTTAGCTTCATGCGAATGATACAATGTGTGGGAAAATCTTAACTTTTAAACGTCAAAAGTTTATATGTTAGTATTTACATTCACAGTTCGATATTGGAATTTTATACTTGGATTTCAACGACGCTATACTGTAATATTCGTTCTTTACCGAATAAAACATTTTACTTACTTTGTTTTGATCATAAAGGAAAAGCAACGGCTGGCTCGTAGAGTCCTCTAAAATAAATACTACACAACATTAGCATGTGTTATATCAACTACCTTTCAGTCAACTCGATATTTTCCATAATGATGAGAATATTTCTGATTTACGTGTCAGAACGTACATTTTGTAAAATAACTACTAGTCTACTCACCAAAGTTTATGTAATTTTTGTATCAAATGGAAGAATGATTACCGCTCACTGAAATTTAAATAACAAGAAAAGAAAAGCAAAAGAAGATGTAAGAAATGTTTAGAAAATAAATAAAGCAAGAGATCATTTAAAGTTCTGCCATATAAACTTGCAGGTAAAAGAAGAAACTAGGGGTGGGCTTTCGGGTACCCGTTCGGGTTCGGGTCGGGTATTTCGGGTTTTCGGGTATTTCAGTATTGGGGTTTATAACCCGTTCGGGTATTTTTACATATCGGGTCGGGTTCGGATATTTTTAGTTCGGGTTCGGTTATTTCGGGTCGGGTTCGGATATTTAGATTTTGAAAAAAAAAAATTCAAATTCTTCATTACTTAAGATTCATGTATTTAAAATTTTAACTATCAGTAAAAATCATATTTTAGTGTGTTAAAGTATTATCCATCACTGTTCACTAGAAGCTTAGTTTCTTTTTAAACAAAAAATGTTTCGGAATAATGTGGGCCAAATTAAATTTGACATTTTACTTTGTCATTGTGTGAAAGATGTCCCATGAAATGCAATTGAGTAGAACTCCATATTCATAGGATCCGACTGTGAGGAGACGACAGTGAGGTCCATATTCATTGGATCTGACTGTAAAGAGACCAGTGAGGTCCCTTACCTGTCTCTCTTACTTTTCAAATGGGGTTCAATAGTTTTGTGATCAGCCTTTAATTAATGCAAAGGACTAGAGAATAACTTAGATGAACACACCCAATGCTCTTAAATTAATGCAGTAACTGCACCTTTCCCATAAGAGAACACCTGGCTTATTCATTAACAAAGGCTCTTACATGCCTGACCTTTCTAATTACTACCAAAAACTAGTTGCACAGCCTGTAAAAACCTGATGAACTCATACAGATATTTACTAATTAAGCTTCATTTTTAAAAATGAAATTGTCTATTTTGGGGAACTGTGAATTTGATTATAGTTTTCTTTTTATAATCCCACTATGCATTTACAAGAATAAACACACAAAACCTCCACGATCAAATCGGATAAGGTTGTGTTCTTTTAGTAAAAGTGGATTTTAAATAAATCACCTACGCTATGTGTTCACTATAATTAACCCATCATTCTTATTCTTAATGCACACTCTAGCTTTTTACCATTTAGTCATTTAGATAATCAAAAATTAGACCGTAGCATATGTTCCACAATGAAATAGCAAATAACTGCAAGTAAAAAAGTTTTTGATCATAATTACTTTAAGTCGATCGACAGTGTTGCCACTGAATGTCCATAAGAGTTGACAAAAAAAAAAGAATGTGTCCATAAGCATTTAGTCCTAGACATGTGAGTGAACTGACATGCCACGAAGACTTGCAGTTCAAGAAACCTAGGAGCTATTATTATGATGCCTTATGTTCCTTCTCTGAGCTTACTTAAAACCAAAAATGCTTCAGAATCTTCATCCTCCACAACCCAATTCTTCCTTCTACTTCTCATAAGGACGACTAAAGCCACTTCTTCAATGTCCTCTTCTGCTGCTATTAGCCTATTAGAATCTAAGTCATGTGATGATCCGGAACTAGCATTGCAAGGGGAAACAATTTTCTCTAAAGCAACTCCTGACTCTTCGTTAAAATAATCCTCGTTGTGTAGTTTACGCCAATGTTATTGTTCTGTGCCCCTGTCTCTAGGCTAAGTTTCTATTGGGCTAAAAGGCCTACGGAATCGGGCAGTCTGGTGGATCATCAAAAACTGTCAAGGTTTCAAGTTCGATCCAATTTCAAGAAAGCTTTCACTTATTCATTTCGTTGGATTCATGTTCATTACGTTAGATTTTAGTTCTCTTGTTTTCCTTTCTCAACTTCAAATTCTCTATTTTTTTTATTTCTCAAAATCAAATTCCGAAATATAAGTTAAGAACATTTCATCGATCGAAGCAGCTGACCTACAATGTGATCTATAATTGAATTTTCATACTTTAGTTTAAAGAGTTTTTTAATCTAGTATTCAAACTAAGCTATACACAAAAGTGGCCTTTAATCATATTTTATCTATGTAAAGAGTTAAGCAGAAATTTTCGAAATATTAAAAATATATGAAAATGAAACAAAATGAGAGAGAGAGAGAGAGAGAGAGAGAGAGAGAGAGAGAGAGAGAGAGAGAGAGAGAGAGAGAGAGAGAGAGAGAGAGAGTATCCTACACGTGCACATGGGAACTAGACCCTCCTTCTCCCACTCCTTCACTTAATTTACATTCTCAAGTAACATTCTTGTTGTGAGTTCTAGAAGATCTTGAAAAACAGGAATGGTCAGAACTACTCAGACAAACGAGAATGTGATCTCATCAGCCTTTCTACTCTTTCTACTTCAGTGTCCAAAAAGGAACACTATAGTAAGAGTTGAAATCTGGAGAATACGTCTAAGTACATTTTTCTAGACCGTGTTGAAGATGTTGATGGCTTATGTAAGTGTTTAGGTACTTCATAACTTGAGACTTTGTTTGGCCTAGCTTAAGATGTTTCCTCTATATCTAAAATGCTTAATCTTCCTCTTTATGTGAATAAAACTAGTCACATTCTCTAGTAAACATCCAAAAAAGAAGGACGTTGCTGACTAGAGTCTTTCACGTATCAAGCATGAGACAATGGGTAGTTAGACCCCAATAGAAAAAAAGTAATTAGTCTAGTTAATTGTGGTTAATGCTTTACTCTTAATTAGAACCAACCAAAAGTATTTAGTTTAGTAATCAGTACACTAAGAAAAAGAGTATGCCACAAGGATCACAGAAATACACTATGCAACATATCATAGAGAATGAACAATGGTATCACTAGCACAAGCTAATATAATTATAAACGTATGACATTCGGCGCCAAATTTAAGAGCTCATATTGGGCCTTAAGCTAATAGTGGGCTTGGCCCATACAGTATTAACTGTATGAATCACATAATACCACTACTGATTTTGATCGAGTTGTTGTATATTACAAAGTTTTCAAACTTCTGAGCAAAATATCTCTCTATATATAAATTATTTTTTGCTTAAATGAGTTAATATAATCATGTAAATTTTTGTGCAAACATGTAGTCTAGAGTACAAGTCTAATTCTAGTTTGATGCATTTAGCATGTCTCGTAAATTAAAATGTTCTTCTTTTTTTGTTGAATTGTCATGCCAATGACCACCATAAAATTGGCATCCATCAATGTTTTTGATATGATGCATGCGGATAAACATGCCTTCTTCAAAAAGATAAGACCAGCAAAGATCAATGTTTACGAGAAGGCTTAAATCGTGAAACATGCGTTACTTAGAACCGTCAAAGACTAATACAATGAAGTCTGGACACAGCTGGAAATGTTTTTGTCTTTAAGTTGTCACATGAACAAAGATTACATCTAATATAATCTTTGATGAAGTTTATAAAAGATTGTTTAGTAGTTTCATGTTGAATTTTCCTCCATTAGCCCAAACCCAAAGTTATGATCCATATTAAGAGCCCAAAAGAGAAGCATAAGGAGAAAGAATTCTCTAGAATTATGGAGAAAAATAGAGAAAGTTATGGGTAGAATAATTAATGTTAGATATTTTGGATTAGGATAATAATTTAGAGAAATCTAGAACATGTTAGAAGTTTCTCTCTCACTTGTATAAATAGAGGTGCTTAGCACCATTTGTAACAATCTAGAATTAAGAAGAAAAACATTTGTAAGAGAGAGAGTTT